TCCTCATTTTTCCCCTCCCTCCCCGCTCCCCAGAAAAATGTTAACGGTGTCTACAATATTATTTGTCAAGGAGACAGGTTAAGATGAATAAGAGTTGTAGGGGAACCATACGTAAACAGTGTTTAAAATGCAGAAGAGAGATTTAGCTGCCTGGGAGTACCAAGGAAGACTTCCATCAGAAAAGGCAGTGGAACGGGGTCTTGAAGGATGAAAAGCTTACCACGTGTAGAAGAGATACCAGGGATGGTGAGAAGATTTTTGGGTGCACTTAGGAAAAATTTGTCTCAAGGGAATGTGTGTGTGTGTCTTTGACTGGTTGCCAGAGTGTATTAAGTGGGGAGTGGTATTTGCCCAACCAGTGAAACCAGTTCTCATAATGCCCTACTTCATACAATTTTGTTAGTTAAAGTTTGCTGGTTACAAATGAAATTCAAGGGCAGAAAGTGCAGCACAGCCTCACAAGTGATGGATCTAGAATCCAGAAACCTATCAAGAACTCCCAGAGTGCTCCTCCCATGTTTCTAAGACCTGTTCTGTTTTCCATGGCTGCTTCAGTCTCTCTCTGTTCTGCTGCTCATTCACATGGCGGAAGATGACCCCCATGCCTCTCCAAAGGCTCCCCATACAAGAATTCAGTCCGGACAAGTATCACATGTCATGATCTGAATTCCAAACTCCCCGAGTTAATATATAATCGGTTCCATATGTTTCAAATACCTTTCTTGGCCCAGTCAACCATGGCCAGAAGTAAAGATCAAGCTATATGATTTCCAAGCATCCACTCCTGTGGGACTGAGGAGGCCAGGGAAGGTCATTCATTGATGGGCTGTTTAGTATAAGGATGGATCTCAGAACCTGGGATAATGCTGTTAATGTAAATGGTGAACTCTGTAGTGATTTTCACCTGTCTGGATTGACTGCAGGTGAAAGATGCCAGGGTCCTAATGGCAATGTAAATGGTGAACTCTGTAGTGATTTTCACCTGTCTGGATTGACTGCAGGTGAAAGATGCCAGGGTCCTAATGGCAGCTGACCAGCCCCGGATGAGTGAGAAGCTTCAGGAAGCTAACCTTCTGTTGGATGACATCCAGAGGGGGCTCAATGATTACCTGGAGCAGAAGAGACTTTTTTTCCCCAGGTATTCAATGTAATTCTGTTGTTTGAAGTTGCACACCAGCTTGTGTGATCCAAAGATGACAATTCCTTTTTGTATCAGAACTAAAATTATGAACACCCAATATGGAGAGCAAGGGGAGCGCAAACCCATCTGCAGAGAATCTAGTCAGACTGAGCTGCTGGCACTTTGTTTCTCAACCCTCCTAATGCCGTGACCCTTTCATACAGTCCTCATGTTGTGGTGACCCCCAACCATAATATTATTTTCGTTGCTGCTTCATAACTGTCATTTTGCTACTGCTATGAATTGGGCGACCCCTATGGAAGGGTCGTTCAACCCCCAAAGGGGTCTCGACCCACAGATTGAGAACCGCTGCGCTGGCAGAGCCACGCTAGCCACAGGCAAGAGTCTCCACCAGGCTTAATATCAGGCAGAGGCCATTGTAATCTTGATTGTGCAGGATCAAACTGAGTACCAGGACAGTTGTCCTTCCTATAGACACGACGTGGATTTGTACTGGGTGTAAGTATCTCTTAGTTGTCCCATGACAGAAATTTCTTCCCTGGCTTTTTGAATGATGATGGGAGTCTTCTCTGTCTTATGAATCATTTGTATTTTTGCCTTTATACTAATATGATCTTAACCTTACCACCTTAATGCTATTTGTCTTTCATTGTTTTCTGTTGGGTTTCCCATCTGTGAAGCACAGGAGGAGTGGGTGTATAATGATAATAACCGATATGAGGTGTTATAGGGAATGCAGGGGTGGGGAGTGGGCTATGGGGAGGAAAAGGGTATTTCAGGAGTAGACCATAAAGGTGGGGACAGGGAGGGAACACTAGAACTGATGGTGATTGCACTACTCAGTTTAAAGGCGATATAACCATAGGGGAAGGGGGGGAGGATCTAAGATAGATGTGGTGGTGATTGTACGACGCCCCTTGATGTGACTGAATAATTGAGCTGTTCAATTGTGTGATAGGTGAATTATGTGCCCCCCCCCAAAAAAAAAACCTGTTGGGAAAAAAGACTTGACTTTGGGAGTTGGACAGACTGCTTCAAGTTCCAGTTCTTCCATTTATTAGTCTTCTGACCCTCAGAAACTCTATTAGAGCCTCGGGTCTTCCATTGTAAAATGAGGATATGGGAATGACCTCTCATTCATATATTTGTTGTGCAGATCAAATGAATTTGATCTTAGAAAGCATTTACCATCTAGGTTGTGGGTTTCAAAATGCTGCTGTTAAAATTGTCTGGTTTGGTAAATGAGAAAACAGTAACTTGTTCCAAAAAATACAACTCATAAATATCAAACTGGGATTTAAACCTAGCCAGTTTGGATAAGACACTCAGTTATTTAACTTCTCTGGACTATGTTGTCTCCATAAGTTAAACACACACACCACACACACACACACACACACACACACACATCTATATACCCATGGAGACAGATTTCTTTATGTTCTTTTGTGAAATGAAATTAAACACTCAAAAACTTTGTATTATATATAATCATATATTTTTAATCCATTTCATCTTGGAAATATAGAGACTTAAATAATACTTTAAGTTTAAATTACACAAATAGTGTTATAAATTTTAATTGTATAGAATTATTATCCTGATAGCTATTGGGACTTATTTATTATCTCATATGATGGAAACAGCAGCTATATAAATACTTAGAGACTACCTTTTCACTTGGAGTTGGGAGGAATTAACTTCCCCACTAGATACTAGCTGAGCCCCTCTTGCATGATGACACTATTTACTGTCATCAAGTTAATTTCAACTCATAGGGACCCTATGGGACACAGTAGGGTTTCCACAGTGGGCTTCTGAAACTGTAAACCTTTACCGGAGTAAAAAGCCCATTGTATATGGGACAAAGGATCCCATATACAATGTACTCATTTCAGCTGTTGCATTAACAACCCCAAAACCTGTTGCCATTTAGTCAATTTGACTTAGACTACTCTAAGTGCCCCCAGAGGGTTTCTAAGACTGTAATCATTATGAGAGCCGACTGCCACATCTTTCCATTGAGGAGCAGCTGGGGGGTTCAGACTGCTGACCTTTCAGTTGGCAGTGGAGGTCTTAATCCCTACACCACGAGGGCTCCTCAGAAGCTTAAAACACCACCCATTTTATTTCACTCAGAACTCTTGTGGGCTGGCAAATAGGGCAGGACTTTCATGAGTAGTTCTTTGGGTCTCATTCACATGACTACAGAGAACTGGCAACTGATGACTTGAGTCACTTTTCTGGGGTTTGACTGGCCACCTGGCTTTCACCCTTTAGGCTAGCCTGGCTCTATTCACCTGGTGGTGCTCAAGGGGTTCCCAAGAGCGGCAAGAGTAGAAGATTCAAGACCGCTTGATGCCTAGGCTCAGAACTTGCCCAAACTCATGTTCTCCATAATCTGTTGGCCAAAGAAGAGCAGAGGCAGCCCAGACTTCAAATAGACTTCAGTAGATTTCACATAGACTCCATCTCCTGAGGAGAGGAGCTGCACAGTACTGTTACCATTTTTATAAACCACCACAAATGGGACCATTTTAGCACGGCCCTCCCATTGTGAAACTTTGAACCTATGGAGCCCTTTCTAAAGATTTGTTATTGCTTTGGGGTATGAACCAAGAATTATTATCTCTAATTTAAACATGATTAATGTTTCTCCATAAAAATAGGTTTATTATTAACATATACCTCTTGTTTCAAACGTGTAACATTTTCTGGAATAGCTGCAGATAAGGAAAGAAAATAGGCTTTCTCTCACTTCTTCCCCTATTGTCTCTCAACACTGAATAACCTGGGAATTTAAAGATGTAAATCCCCAACCCAATTCCTAATCAATTAGTATAGTAGTCTCTGGACAGTGGGGCCTGAGTATTTGGTATTTTTGTAAGTATCCTCAATGATTTTCACGTGCAGTTAAGGTAGGGAACCACAGCTCTATTTAAGTTTATTCCAATGGCAGCACCTTGTCCTTTCAAACCATATTAAACACAGACAAACGGACTTTCATCCTGTCTCTTATTCTCTGAGTCGACCCCAAGCCCCACCTTCTCGACGGCAAGGGGAGTGGGCCATAGAGAAGACCCAGTGGCATGTCTAATATTCAATTGGTGTGACCCCGGTGTCGCCCTGTTGGAAGTAGTTCACAGAAGGGGTTCACGTTGCCAACTTTCTTTGCTCTGAATTAGGTTCTTCTTCCTGTCCAATGACGAGTTGCTGGAGATCTTATCAGAGACCAAGGATCCCCTCCGCGTCCAGCCACACTTGAAGAAGTGCTTTGAGGGAATTGCCAAGCTGGAGTTTTCAGAACACTTGGAGATCGAGGGCATGATCAGCTCAGAGAAAGAAACGGTTCCATTCAAACAGAAAATCTACCCAGCTAAAGCCAAAGTAACCCTTTTTCTGGTTCTTTAATAGAGCAAAACGGAGAGACGGAAAGTATTAGGCACCTAGACTTTAGTTCCCAGCTCCCTGGGTGAGCATTCCAGGTCATGGCAGTCCTACGGTTTAGTGATGGATGACTTCGGGGAATTGCTCCATCTGTCTGAGCCTCAGTTTACCCATCTTGAAAATGGGAATTACACAGCAACCCAAGGGATGTAACAACATGTGTGGTAGGAATTTCACCAAATGTAATGTGGAGGTGGTAACAGGACTTCGGTTCCAACAACTGATGTGTAGATCTCTCTGAACAGAGTCCATTGAAGAGTGATCCATACAGACCGTGATCCATACAGACCGAAAATAAGGGTCACTTATTTTCATAGGTCAATAAAACATCATGGAATCATGAGAGAGAGGATGCCACACAATGAGGCTTTTATACCTGTGCCCTTATGAAATAACAGACGTGTCAATGATTTTGACTCCTGCTGAACTAGACAGCATCCTGAAAAGGGAAGAGCGCAGCATTCTTTGCCTCACTTCATTGAGCATGGTTACCACCCCCCACACGCAAAAGCTGTAACAACCACGAGTTATATCACCAAACCAGACACCAGTGGCTGACAGGCACCTGAAGTCCACAGCTTAAAAAAAAAAAATCCTGATGTCTAGGTTGTATCACATTCTAATTAAATCAGAATGTATGGAGTTGGGACTGAGCATCCATGTATTCTAAAGGTCTCCTAATGGCTCAGCACTGCCAAGCTCAAGAGCCACTAGGAGAATGTATGACTCCTAACTGCCCATTAAAAATGAACAATGTAATATTAACTGAAATACAAATGGCTTTGTTTGCCTCCCCCCAAGTTATCTATTTTAAAAACACAGAAGCAACACATGTAAAATCCCATGTTGCCTCTTTAAGAGGTATGTAGTTCCTAAAATATAGTAAATAATGTAAAAGCACACAACCAAAAATATTGGCCTCCCCTGCCCTGTTCAGACAGAAAAATCGGCTCTGTCCATGGTACCCTCTCTCTGGACTTGGGCTAACTCTCTCTGTATCTTGCCCCACAGGGCATGGTCGAAAAGTGGCTTCAGGAGGTGGAGCAGATGATGCTTGCTAGCATGCAAGAGGTCATTAGACTTGGGATTGAAGCATATGCCAAGGTAAGCAAGAATCGGTTCATGTGCCCAGGTGCTGCTGCTATAACAGGCATTTGGGGAAAAGATTTAATGGATTCATTGTAATGGCTTCTCTTCCTTCTGCCAAAATCGAACCTCTCCTGCTGGGTGATACCTGACACCTTGTACCTCTAGTTCTTGCCCCTGTAAATCCTGGGGGATGAGCATACAAGAAAGGGGCTTCAAAAAGTTCCTGGAAAAATTCCATGATCTTCTCATTACATTTTCCATGAACTTTTTGAAGCCCCTGAAAGGAACTGTGTTGGGTTATGAATTAAACCACTAACCATAATGTCAACAGTTCAACTCCCCCAGGTGCTCCACGGGAGAAAGATTAAGCTCTCTGCCCCTGTAAAGATTTTAAAACTCTCAAAAACCCAAAGGGGGGCAATTTTACTGTGTCCTATGAGGTTCCTATGAGTCAGAATCAATTTGATGGCAGTGAGTTGCTGATAGGTATTTGTAGTTGGAAGCAACTGGTAACTAAACTTGCTATAGATCAGTCCTTTTTATGGGTTGGAATTGATGTCAGGAGGCCTGCTCAGGCCCCCTTCCACTTAAGTAGGGCTCTCTGGGTGATGCAACATGCTTGACCACTAACTGAAAGACTGGAGGTTCAAGATTTCCCAGAGACACCTCAGAAAAAAGACCTGATCTACTTCTGAAAACCCAGCCCTTGAAAGCCCTTTGGAGCACGGATCTCTTCTGACATACACAGACGCTCAATGACTTGGGGTCGACCTGATGGTAACTGGCGCTCCAATGAAGCATCCCTGCTCGAGGCTTTTCACTTTGATTACACGTGCCTTGAATGGTGTGATCCATTGAGTAGCCAATGGGATTCGGGAGAGAAGGAATCTGACACTAGCAAAGCACATTATAGTATATCTCTAATGCTGGCTCCTCTAATTTCTCTGCCCTCCAACTTTCAATCCCATTCCCAGGACTCCTTCCATGAAACAGAAGAATATTAACAGTTTCACACCACCATATTTGGAACAGACCTTGTTAGACCTCCCAGCAATACTCACATTGTAGATGGAGGGATAGTTCACTTTTCTAGGATACATTATAAATAAGAAATTAAATTAAAGCAAAATAGCTAGATGGATGAAATTCTTTCTTGAATTAGCATTTATACTGAAAATCAGCAAACACTTTGTAAAAACAAAGAACCAGGCCATAAATAGCTTTAGCTCTGCAGCCCTCATGACAATTTCACTTTCCCCTGGATTGAAACAAACAGCAATAGACAATATGTAAGTGAATGGGCATGGCTGGGTTACTAAAAAACTAGTAAAAAGCAGTTCCCTTTTGTAAGTACAGGTTTATCCCTCAGTCCAGAGTTTGCTGATCTCTAATCTATACCTAAAAATAGGGGCTGGGGGTATGGTTAAGAAAACTGAGATAGTAATGATTTAAAAATAAAAATGAGAGGGAGCAGGAAAAATGAGAAGCTGATGCCAGGGGCTTACATGGAGAGTGAATTTTTTGGAGAATGATGAGGATAATGAATGTACAAATGTGCTTTATACAATTGATGTATGTATGGATTGTGATAAGAGTTGTATGAGCCCCCAATAAAATGATTAAAAAAAAAACAAAAGAAAACTGAGACAGCGCTACAATGTCATGTAACCCCTAAATCTAACAGTTATGAAAACTTACTGAAAACAGCACCATATCCCCCACATGGTAAACATAACTGGCCGGGAACACTAAAAATTAATCAAAGAGTTAATAAGATGGTTGGTGATGTGTTTGTTTTCCCAGAAACACACACACATTATATATATATGGAGAGAGAGAGAGAGGTAAATAAGGAATCCTAGAGAACTTAAAACTTGTAACAAGGGAAGGGAGGGGGAAAAAGAGGAGCAGATACTAAGGGCTCATGGCAACATATGTACAAAGAGCTATAAGAGCCCCAATTAAAAAACAAAAACTTGTAACATATGAAGATGGGGAGGACTATTGTCTTCGGAGTAAGGTGGCGGGGGATTTTTTTGTTTTTTAAATCATTTTATTGGGGGCTCATACAACTCTTATCACAATGCATATATACATCCATTGTGTCAAGCACATTTGTACATTTATTGCCCTCATTGTTCTCAAAACATTTGCTTTCTACTTGAGCCCTTGGTATCCACTCCTCATTTTTCCCCTCCCTCATGAACCCTTGATAATTTATAAATTATTATTATTTTGTCATGTCATACGTCTCCCTTCACCCACTTTTCTGTTGTCCATCCCCCAGGGAGGGGGTTATATGTAGATCCTTGTGATCAGTTCCCCCTTTCTACCCCACCTTCCCTCCTCAGTGGGGGAATGTTTTAAAGCAGTCATTTAAATCATACATGGTCAAGATGAATGGATTGTTCTACAACATACTTCACTCAACGAGCCCTTTCTGCATTTCCCCAGGTTGCTCGCAATAAATGGGTATTGCAGTGGCCTGGACAAGTAGTTATCTGTGTCTCTTCCATCTTTTGGACCCAGGAGGTGTCCACAGCCCTGGTCGAAAACACCCTACCAGTAAGTGAACCTGTCATAAAGTTTGCAGGAAAGATTCACAAATCCATTCAGCATGTGGATGATATTTAATACAACAGTCACAGTTTCCAAAGAAAAGTCATCAAAGCCCATGGTGGCCCCCAAGCCAGGGTTCCACAGGGACATGTGGTGGAGAATGGCATTGGTCTGTCCTGAGGTTCTACTATACAAGACCTATCACAGTCCTTCCCAGACAAACTCTGGACGATAACCTCTAAGGCTGATATATCAGCCTTTGCCCATTAAGTCCTTTTCCTCCAAGTGTCAACCTGGTAGAATGTCCGCCGACCAAGACTTCTTTCCACTTCTTCCTGGACCAAAAGAATACCTGATCCTGTTTTTCTCTTCTCCACCCCAGCCCCTTCCCACCATTCCCCTTCCCACACAAACTCACCCCAGCCTTCCTTCAGCTGTCTTTTGTAAGTTCAAGCACCTGTTTATCCTCACACCTGTTCTGAGCATGAATCCAGGCACACACATCTTCAATCCATTTCTGCCATTGATTTCAGTGCTCAGGAGTTCAAGGCCTACACGGACTTGTGTTCAAACTCCGGCATATTTGGTTATTATCTGTGTGAAGTGTCGGCAAGTTACTTAAACCAAGTCTCAGTCTCCTTGTCCATAGAAAACAATAAATTGTAATATCACATCTTAGTACTGTGTGATGATTCGCTGAGATGCCAGTAAGTGGACAGTACTTTGATGCTAGGCTAAAATACCCACAGAGCAGATGCCTGGTCCATTTTGTTCACTGTTCCATTCCAGGGGTTAATGCAGTGCCTAGCACAGAGTCCATCAGTATCTGTTGCGTGGTAACTCTGTTTCCAATCTTTCTACAGTAGTATTCTTTCCCAGTATTATCTCTCTAGGCCTTCTGTTATTCCCTTATAGATTATCAGTTGTGAACCAGAATATGTTTGATTTTACTGTATTTGCTGTACACATGAAAATTAAAGCACTAGAGTGTTTGACTCCATGCTATAATTCCTAATAATATATGTTCCACTTTGTTGGCTGCTTTGAATGTACCATTTCAAACTTCAAAACTTGCGAAACCTCTTGAGTTTTTCTGGCTGCTTCCCTGTGCCCCAGTTTCTTTCCTGTAGTGTGGGGAGAGCACTTCCTATATCAACCCAAGGCTGAAGTTCTAGTTACTGAGTGATGTGCCTGGGCAGCCTGAAAGATGTCAGAACAGGTTAATCATCCATCCATCCCTGCACTCATGATTAATTTCACAGATGTTTATTCGGCTTCTGATTTGTGCAGTGAGTATGCTACTATACAGAAAATTATAGGTAAACAACTCTTGATCTCTATCCTGGATTTACAGTCTAGTGGAGGAGAGAAAAAGATATGATAAAAAGACATATCAGCAGCAATCTACAATGCAATTATTAGTCTTTCCTCCTCTAGAGCAAAGAAAATGGAAGAAAATCAAAGACTCTAGGAAGAAATTAGTTGGAAGGACTAATGGTCCATTGAAACCGCAACTTCCACTACCTGGAGACCAGAAGAACTAGATCGTGCCCAGCTACCAATACTAACTGCTGTGATCACAATCACAGAATAACAAAAATTCAAAAATGTGAAAATGGCCAGACTTATTCTTCTGATAGAAATTAGTGAACCCTAAGAGTGACCCTAAGAGGGGCCCTCCTGGTGTAATGGCTATGCATTGGGCTGTTATCCACAAGGTCAGCAGTTCAAAACTGTCAGCCACTCTGGGGAGAAAGATGGGGCTTTCTAGTCTAGTCAAGAGTTACAATCTTGGAAACTCAGAGCGGCAATTTTACCCTGTTCTAATGGGTCACTATGAGTTGGCATTGACTCGATGACAGTGGGTTTGGTTGTTGGTTTTAAGAGTGATCCTTAGACATCCTTCGAAGCCAGAACTGAACCTCTCTGCCCCTAATTCCTCGTTCAACTTTTAGCCAAACAATAGATCGGCCTATAAAGTTAATAACACCAGGGAGGAATGTGTCCTTCCAAACAATCAACCATACAAGACTGAAAGGGCAATATTTGTCCCAAATCAAAGCTCTGAAAACAGGAAGGGGCAGGAAAAAAGGATGAACGACACAGATCTAGGGAGAAGAAAGCGGGTAAGGGATTGCAATGAAGGTCACAAACCCAATGCATAAAAATGTTGAACGGAAAACTAATATGCTCTGTAAACTTTCACCCAAATGGTAATTTTTTTAAGACTACTTGTAGAAATGTATTAAGTACAGAGATCTAAGAAGCATGGGAGGGAGGACAGAAGTGAGAGAGTAGTTAGGGTTGGGGAAGATTTCCCAGAAAAGTAATGCCTTAGGGGAAACCTAAGACTTCCCTGGGTGGCACAAAACTACTCAACTGCTAGTTGAAAGATTGGCACTTTCAACCCACCCAGACAGATAGGCCTGGTGATCTACCTCCGAAGGTCACACCTTTGAAAACCATGGCAGTTCTACTCTACACACAGGAGGTTGCTCTGTGTTAGAATTGACTTAACAATGCTGTTTAGCAACAAGGGGAGACCTAAAATCTGAGAAGAGGCTAACCAAGCAAAGACGAGGATGTAGAGTGTTTCACAGAGAAGGAAGGGAGCATGTCAAAGTCTGAAGGTTAAAAGCAGGCTACACAAGCCATACCCTTCCCTGCAGTGGGCCATCAAGAGAATGTACAAAGGATACTACAAAACATCACTATAAGAAACCAAAAGGAAAAAAAAGAAAGAAACGAAAAGAGGCCTATGTAAATGGAAGACTATTCCATGTTCTTGGAAAGGAAGGCTTAACATAGTGAAAATGTCAATATACCCAAATGAATCTATAAATGCAATACAATTCTGATTCAGATCCTAACTTCATCCTTTAAAGATACGGAAAAACTAATTCTTAATCTTTTATGGAGAAGAAATCCAGGATAAGCAAAGAATTCCTTAAGAAGAACAACAAAAATAGGTAGGAGGCCTCTCACTTTTCAACCTCAAGATTTATTACCTAGTAATTAAAACAGCCTGGTACTGGTACTGTGATAGGTATATAGACTAGTAGAACAGAATAGAGAACCTAGAAATCAACCTCTACCTATAGAAACAAAGGTCTAAAAAACATTAATTGGAAACTAGTCAACAAAGAGTGATTGAAATACCATAGCTTGGATCAGGAGCACCTTAGTCCTCAAAGTAACATTTTTGCTGTTTAGCCCTTTAAAGTGTCTTTGCAACAGATTTGCTCTTGCAACTTGCCATTTGATGTCTTGACTGCTGTTTCCTTGAGTGTTGATTGTGAATCCACATTAGCATCGTGGAGACTAGGATGTACAACACCTAGGGTCAATCGCATTAGACCACAAATGGAGGATAATCACACAACACCAAGAATTGTGTCCTAGTCAAGTTGACACATGTTTAGGGGAAACACAAGTCAATACATAACCAGGGATAGTATCTAGCTGTATGACTTGGGCCATTGGGTGATTGATGGTGCCATATTCTGAGATGGAAATTACCAGAGGAGAATTCAGTTTAACCCCTTGTTCCCACCTCTGCTTCTACTAGGATTTTCTGGAAAAGAGCAATGAACAGATTGCACAGATTGTCCAGCTGGTTCGGGGAAAGCTGAGCAGTGGAGCTCGGCTCACTCTCGGAGCCCTTACGGTCATTGATGTCCATGGTAAGCACAGAGACTTCCTTTGGCATGACTGAGTGTCCAGGAATAGCAGCCAACCATCCTTTTCTCCAGCATGTAATGGTTCTCCTGACTTTTCCAACAGACTGGGGTGAAAGAGTAAAGAAAGAAGCCAACTCCAAAGCTGCCCTTTGAACTCCAAGTACTGTCCTCTTTCTCAAACCCAATAGTCTTTCTTAGGAACCCTCTAAGCGACCTCCTGCTAAGAGTCAATTGTGAGATTCACCAACTTGGGGTGATTTCCTTGGATAACAATAGCTAAAGAGTCCTGGTGGCATAATTGTCAGGAGAGGCAGCCCCTACCAAATCATCACAGGCCTGGCAGGCACAATTGTACAGTGATAATAAGTAAAGATTATAGTAAAGTCATAGAGAATAAGAGAAATAGAAGAGAGAATGAAATAAAGGAGTCAGACACATTTCATAGTAGCATGCTCACCTCAGCCCTGCTTGGTGGTCCACGTGAGGATGTGGAAAGTGGGAATTGCAGGAGTGAGCGAGAGAGATTTATTACTAATTGAGGCTTATATAGCTTTGGGGGGTGTGCACGCCCCCAAATTACAGTTAAAGACATACGTCACAGGAAGGGGTTGTACTATAGGTACTACAGTAATGAGAGAGACGATCTAGGGGTATACGCACAATAGGAAGGGGAGTATTAAGGGTACACATGTGACACGATGGGCATACCTTTGGGGGAGACAAAGCTGGAAAAGTCTTGTTATATCCCAAAGCATAATGGCAGCTGTTCCAAACCATAGCTGTTCTGTGGGAGAAAGATGAGGCTTTGTCTTCCTGTAAAGATTTGTTACCTCAGAAACCCACTGGTGCCGTTCTACGCTGCCTTTTCGTCCCTATGAATCAGGATGAGCTCACTGGCAATAAGGATTGGAGTTATATTTTTTAACAATAGATAGTATTTTTAAATACTCACTAGGTGTCAAACATTATGCTAAGGATTTGACATGTCACCTCATTTTCATATACATCTCACAGATTAGGAACATGGAATTTAAAGAGGGGCAAAGAACTCGCCAGAGGCACATGGTTAGTAAGTAGCAGGGGCTCTTTTGGAATTTGAACCTTTGTCTAATCTGATTCCAAGTACCAACACAGGAAAAGAGTCGGTGAAGCATTCTGTTTTCCAGCTCTCCTTAAAAAAGAAATGTAATAAAAGAAGAACCAGGGTCTTCATGTAAAACAGACCACCCCCATACTCTCCCTCCATCACAAAAGAAACTGGGACTGGATCAGGCTGGTTGCCTGGTAACAATGCCTCTTGTTCTCACATCCATCTTCCTGCTGGCATTTCATGACATCGTAACTCCCTTATGGTTGATGCTCATTTCAGTCTGATTTCATCTGGACAGAGAAGTATAAAATCAGGGAGAACAAAGGATTTACATGCTTGTCTTCTATGCAACTGGTAGAGAAGATACATGTAGATTGGATTCCCACAATGAGAGCAGGTGTACATACACAGTATCGAAACCCAGTCACTTTGACATTTACCTTCCTCTGATTTTTCATACAGGTCCCTACTCCTGCTACAAACAATCCAGTTAAATTCCATGGGAGGGAAGGAAGTGTTATTGGTGCAATCTCCTTCAAGGGCTCTTCTCTGCAGACTTTTAGATTTTATTGTAACAAAGTAAACTTCTCTCACAGAAAGGCAGTAGACTTTCAGAAGGATCCTTTCACAAGATTATGTTTCTGGGATTCTAATTTTGAACTTACTGTTCTAGCTCTGAGATCTCAATAGTTCACACCAAATTATGATTCTCATAAGGCTAGGCTCGCTCTCCAACTTTTTAGGACCACCATTACTGGGAGAAAAGTAAATTGGACTCAGACTCCTATGAGAGAAAGGGAAAGGCAAAAATGTATCGCCCAGCTGTTTTCTGGGCCCCAGTGGAAAGAGTACACCTAACCATGGGTCCCCTTCCCACGCTAACTGTGCTAGGCAAACTGACTGCCTTCTCCGAAGCTCTCTTAGAGGCCTAGTGCAGGGCCAAAGAGGTCATTGTGGGATATGGTGGCATTTGGAGAAACTGTATATTGCAAAGACCTTCGAGTCTGCCCTCTGAGAATTTGAGGGGGATAACATCCTGGTGGTGGTGTGGGTTAAACATGGAACTACTAACTACCAAGTTGGTGGTTCAAACCCACTAGCTCCCACCCCCACCTCGGGGATAAAGATGAAGTCGTCTGCTCCCCAAAAGATTAACAGTCTTAGAAACCCTATGGCACAGCTTGACTCTGTCCTGTAGACTCATTCTGAGTCAGAATGGACGTGATAGAAACGAAACAGTATAGCAGAGGCTATACTGATGCTTATATGAAATGCAGTTTCATATTAATACACACACACACACACACACACACACACACACATATATGGAGAGAGAGAGAGGTTGGGTAGGGGGGCACTTACAAGAGTACGAGCTCTGGTGATGCAGTGGTAAAGCATTCTATTGCTAACCGAAGGTCAAGGCTTTCAACTCACCAGCCTGTCTATGTGAGTACAGACCTGTTGAACTGCCCCTTCAAAGACGATGGCCTGGGAATCCCTGTGGGGCAGTTTCATTCTGTCTTACAGAATTTCTTTAAGTCAGAATCAACTTGATGGTTCACAACAACACACACGTGTATTCTCATAATAGCTCTATATAAAGTAGATGCTGTATTAGCCTCATTTTATACATTATTCAACTGAGAGGCAGACGGGTTAAAGAACAGGCCAAATGTTCTAGATCTAGTTAATGGCAGGAATCAAGGCAGTCTGGATTCAGAACATTTGGTTTGAATACCTCTACTAGACTGAAAGCACGCAGTTCAGCAAATACTTCGCCTACTTCCTTGGGAAGAAGGGGAAAGAACACCTTCTGAAACCTACTGCTGTATGCTGGTTGGGATGGGCAGGCAGGCAGTTGAGCCTAAAACTGGTAAGTGAGGGGTGGTCTTGATGACTTTCATGCACCTCATCTGAGGAACCTATGGAAACGGGAGGAGTTTGGTGGGCTCCGCATGTGTATGTTTCTGTATCTGTGCCCCAACAGCTCGTGACGTAGTGGCCAAGTTATCTGAGGACAAGATATCTGATCTAAATGACTTCCAGTGGATCTCCCAGCTGCGCTACTACTGGGTAGTCAAGGACGTGAAGGTGCAGATGATAACTACAGAAGTCTTGTATGGCTATGAGTACCTGGGCAACTCCCCCCGACTGGTGATTACTCCCCTCACTGACCGGTGCTACAGGTAAGTACTGGCTCTGCCCCAGAACTGAGGGGTGAAGAGAAGAACTCCAGGGGAAAGGAATCTTTGGGAAGGAGATTGTGGCTATATTATATATTTTATCTTTAACCCCTACATTTCAGATGCTCAAATTTTGAGAATTGTGTTCATAATTACCATGACTCCATAGATGATGACAGAAACTATCCCATCAGGGCAGAAATGAGAACCCTGTAGAAGTCCTACAAATTAACATATTTGAACCCACAAACTAAATGTTGGTGTATGTCCTTGAAACAGATGTGGTACTTAAATAGAAAGCTCTTCAGTGGTGGGAATCAAGATGGCACCTGGAGACCCCTATGGCCCAGAGATAGATAAGGAAAAGGAAGAAGAATCCACGAAACAAGTCTCTAAGCTTTGCTGACCAACCTGGGGTTAGAGACCCTACTGATAAAAGAGGATTGGTCATCCTGGGTTTAACAAAGTGCTTTACTGCTTTCCTTGAAATTCATAGCATTAGAAATTTGGATTTTGTGAACGTGTCTATTTTGTGATGCTTAATTTAAAAAATGTTTGCTTTTGTATATTCATTTAGTCTTTGGAATCTTTTAAATTATAAATATAATGATTGCGTGTTTCTGCTTTTCAAATCCTCAATCGTCTGTTTCTGCATTCATTCATTTATTCCATTCATTTTAAAAACCATTTTGTTGGCTTATAATGCACAAATCATGCAATTCAGTAGTTCAATCATATTAAAAAGAGTTATACAGTCATCACCACAATCAAATTTTAGAACATTTCCTTCATTCTTGTACTCATTGTTATTAGCCAACCATTTCCCCCAACTGCCCCTACCATACCCCCAAGGAACCATTAATCTAGTTTTATCCTGGATTTCATGGACAGAAGAAAAGTTTTAAAAAACAATAACAAAGTACAACAGAAAACTTTTCAGAAAGCTGAAAATACTAAAAACTAGAACAACTTAAAAATGAATCAAAAGGGGGAGATAAAATTATAAGGTATTAAATTTTAACATAACTGCATCTGCAGTGATCCCTTTTCCAGTGCCCTCTGTATGATAGCAAGGCTATTCATATCCCTAGTCCATGGTCAGAGGGAATTCACCAGAGGCTTAATCCAGGCGTATTTCCCCTTCACGTTTTTAAAAAACTGAAACAACTTTGAAATGGCCAAAAGGGAGATCAAGTGATAAGATATTATATCTTAACATACCTACATCTGCCATAATCCTGTCTGATAAGGCTATTTACATCCCTCAAATATGGTCAGTAGGAGTCCATTGGAGGTTTAATCCATGGGTGGACACTGCAAATGGATTTGGGGCTTCCACTATCATCTATAGCCTTCTGCAAACCAGATGTGAACAATTTAAGCTCTGATCCAATTCTACTTTGAATTGAATTATATTATTTCTAACCCTTGGATCACACAGGCTGGTATTTTTTTCATGTGTATTTACTTGACACCTCCCTTAGATGACTGTTTGAAGACAAACCTTTAAGGGTTCAGGAATTAGTCCTCCTGGTAGCCAGGCACCATCTAGTTTCTTCACCACACGTTGCTATAGCACTCATATCTTCAGTGATCTCTTTATAAGGGCAAGCATCAAGCAGGGTCATGTCATAATAACTAATTGTTCTTAGATGGAGGCTATATTTAAGTATCACCCCAAAATTCATTCATACGTCAATGGTTTATATATATCTCTGGTTCACCTTAGAGATATCATTGTTATTTTATGTTAGAAAGCATTTATCAGTCATCCCTTGGGGCATAAGGAGATATATTCCACTCACTATTTAACAAACATTTATTAAAACTTTCTTTATATAATGCATGGCCTCAAGGAACCCTGACACTAATGGAAAAGATAAATATACACAGATAAAGTAGTATGTTAAGTAAAATTATAGGCACTCAGGACTATAGAACCACAGTTATCATATTATTCATTGACTCCTATTGTATTTATATTGTATACCAAGTATGATGCACTACATTTGTTTACTGAGAATCTGAAATTTAATCAAATACCTTTTCTGAAATCAAGAGCCCATAATTTTTTTAATTTTAATAAATAATTTTATTGGGGGCTCTTACAGCTCTTGTAACAATCCATACATCAATTGTATCAAGCACAGTTGTACATGTTGCCATCAACATTTCCAAAATAATTTTCTTTCTACTTGAGTCCTTGGTATCAGCTCCTCTTTTTATTCCCCTCCCTTCCCCAACCTCCCACCCTCATGAGCCCTTGATAATTTATAAACTATTTTTATTTTCATATTTTATACCATCTGCTGTCTCTCTTCACCCATGTTTCTGTTGTTCGTCCCCCTGGGGTGGAGGAGCACTGGGGTGTGTTGTACGTTGATCATTGTATTGGGTCCTCCTTTCTCCCCCTTCTCCCTTCACCTTCCCCCTACTCTCATGGTATCAGTACTCTCAGTATTGGTCCCGAGGGGTTTATCTGTCCTGGATTCTGTGTGCCCAGAGCTCCTATCTGTACCAGTGTACATGCTATGTTCTAGTCAGATTTGTAAGATAGAACTGGGATCATGATAGTGACAGGGAGGGCTGGGGAGCACTAAAGAACTAGAGGAATGTTGTGTGTTTCTATACTGCACCTGAGAGCCCATAATCTTGTGAGAGAAATACGTTTATTTTCACCATTTTATCAGCACTGGTTATCTTTGGGATGTGGAGCTTACGAGAATTTTTTTCACTTTTATTTGACTCATTTGTGTAGATATGTTCATGTATGCGTGTTAATTTATCATTCAGTCATTCACTCAACAGATGTGTATAGATGCCACTCATCCTGCAGACACTGCCAAGTTCTGAGGTTATGATGCAGGGTCAAATAAAATATTTTGGCTACACAGTCAGAAGAAGCTTAAAATATTTATAATGAATCAAAATCCAAACAGAAATCCAAATAGCCAATTCTCTACTCCAATCAATATCTTTTCTATTTTGTAGGCATCAAATACTGATGCCCAGTTCTTGCCTTTGTCCCCCTTAGAACATTAATGGGAGCTTTGAAGCTGAACCTTGGAGGTGCTCCAGAGGGCCCAGCTGGGACAGGCAAGACAGAAACCACCAAAGATCTGGCCAAGGCTTTGGCTAAGCAGGTAGGGAAGTACCATCCATTTCTACTGCTTTTCACCCACCTCTGGAGGTTACAATGAGGTTCTAGGTAGTTTAGTATAACAGGCAGAGTAGCGGTCCAGGTGATCCAGTTTAACAGAGAGACGCTCCACCACTTGTTTCACCTTGTAAGACGATCCAGATGTGATGTAACCCATCCTGAATGATGCCTGCATCCTCCCTCTCTTTAGTGTGTGGTCTTCAACTGCTCCGATGGATTGGACTACAAAGCCATGGGGAAATTCTTCAAGGGGCTGGCCCAGGCTGGAGCATGGGCCTGCTTTGATGAGTTCAACAGGATTGAGGTAACTCTGCTGGTAGGGTTGACATATGGAGAGGTTTTATTTGTTTGTTTGTTTATTGGTGGGGGGGGGAATCTTGACTCCTTTATGGCAAGGCTCTTCCATGACCCCAGTAAAAGAATAGGTATTCAATGGGCTAAACAAAAAGGTCCCTAAAGTGAACAAAATGTATTTATTATAAACATCATCACCACGTCTATCTTATTCATCCATTCACTCACATATTGGGCAGCTGCTATCTGTCTGCCTATGTTCATGCTATACAGATGAATAAGAAGTTATCTTGCCCTCTAGACTATTACAATCCAGTATTGTTGTGTGCTGTCGAGTCAATTCGGATTCATAGTGACCCAAAATGATAATAAAACTGCCCTATAGGGTTTCCAAGTGGTCATCTTTATGGGAGCAGCCAGCTAGATTTGTTCTCCCATAGAACCATTGGTGGGTTCAAATCACCATGCACAGAAACTCATAGGGGTAGTCCTACCCAGTCTTAGAGGGTTGCTATGAGTGTACATTGACGCAACGTTTTAGGTTAGTAGATGAGTCCTTCCTAATTGTATCATCAGGGTTCTCTGGGATACAGGATAATAAAAAGCCAAAAATCTATTGCCCTTGAGTCAGTCCCAACAATAATGACCTTGTAGAATAGAGTAGAACTACCACACAGGGTTTCCAAGGTTGTCATCTTGATGGAAACAGGCTGCCACATCTCTTTCCCACAGAGCACCTGACGGACTCGAACCATTGACCTTTCAGTTAGCAGCCAAGCGGGTAACCACTGCACCATGAGGGTTCTTTGCAATCTGTGGTTTTTAAAAAAAAAAAACAAACTCACTGCCATCGAGTCTATTCTGATTCATGGTGACCCCATAGGACAGAGTAGAATTGCCCCTGTGGGTTCCTGAGACTGCAACTGTTTGTGGGAGTAGAAAAAATTCATCTTTCCCCCAAGGAGTGCCTGGTGGTTTTGAACAGCTAACCTACAGGTTATCAGCACAACATGTAACCACTACACCTCCAGAGTGAGACAAAAGAGGGGTTTTAATTCCTTTAGGGAGCTATGGTGGGCCAGAAGATTTAAACATGAAACAAACCCCTCAGGACCAATAATGAGAGTAGTGATACCAGGAGGGGAAGGGGAAGGTGGAGAAGAATGGGAGGACTGATCACAATGATCTACATATAACCCCCTCCCTGGGAGATGGACAGCAGAAAAGTGGGTGAAGGGAGACATTGGACAGTGTAAGACATGAACAAATAGTAATAATTTATAAATTATCAAGGATTCATGAGGGAGGGAGGGTGCGAGAGGGAGGGGAAAAATAAGGAGCTGATACCAAGGGCTCAAGTAAAAAGAAATGTTTTAAGAATGATGATGGCAACAAATGTACAAATGTGATTGACACGGATGGATGTATGGATTGTGATAAGAGGTGTACGAGTCCCCAATAAAATGACTTTTAAAAAGAAAACTACTTACACACACTCACATAAATGTGCATATCAATTTTCTTTTATCTACCAAAACCTTTAAACGTGCTCTGAGTTTTGTATGTCAAGCTCTGCCTTTGGGGTGATTGGGTTCTCTCATTGCTAAGTGAAGGGCTGTCTGGCAGAGAGAGAAGCTTTCACAAGCAGCAGCTGACATCAGCCACATGTTCTCACCCCAGGTAGAAGTGCTATCTGTGGTAGCTCAACAGATTCTCAGCATTCAACAAGCCATTATCCGGAAGCTAAAGGTGTTCATGTTTGAAGGCACTGAGCTCTTACTGAACCCAACCTGTGCTGTCTTCATCACCATGAACCCTGGCTATGCTGGGAGGGCTGAGCTGCCAGATAACCTCAAGGTAATCAACTGCTGGGTGTACTTTAGGGTATGTTAAGACCTAGTTACCCGAGGGTTGCACGGAGAATCCCAACAATAGGTGCAAGTGTATTTTTCAGCTGCGAAAGTAGTGGAAATTGATGGTGTTGATATGATACCTGGTCCCAGATAACAACCATCTCCCCAATAAGGTCTTAGAAGGGGGAATAGATACAAAGGGGCTTTCAAACGTTTGTGGAAAAATTCTTCTAATTCCAGTTTTCCATGAACATCTTAAAGCCCTCTCATACAGTAACCAATGGTAAATAGGAAAGAATGAACAGCACAAGAGTCATTATTTCATTGCCTACATGAGCGAAGCAAGTGGTGGGAACTTCCGTGAGCTCCTGGTGCAGGAACCACCCAACAAAGCTGGTTGAGCCTAAGTAGTTTCCAGACCAAAGCAGGCTCTTCCAAGCAGCTGGTGAGATAATAAGGGAGTACATCTCCTCTCCCCCAGTATTTACTGCTGAGCTAGTCTGAGGTACAGTCATGATTACCATGCTATTTCTCCTTGTCTCTGTAGATGAACTTCCCCCATGTTCACTGGAAATGCCCAGGTTCTGATTGTCTGGTTGTCTCTTTTTCAGGCCTTGTTCAGGACAGTGGCCATGATGGTGCCGGATTATGCCCTAATTGGAGAAATTTCCCTCTATTCTATGGGGTTTCTGGATTCCAGAAGGTACATTACAGAGGGTCTTCTGCTTTCCAACCAGTTATAAAAGGCTCTGAAGAGCAATTTTTTTGTCCTGTGAGTTCGAGTTCAGTTAACCATTAGGAGAAAAGACAGCAAATTTGAGAATTTTGCTTTTACTGGGAAAATTTGGCTGGGGAATGGTTCAGGTTCCCAAGAAACCTCTTTATTTTCCTATATCCTGACTTCTTCATTAAAGAAAGGCACCCACTATCTCTTGTCCACCCTCCTCACACGAACACACATTGTTAAATGGCTTATAGTGAGCCAGTAAAACATAAGCAACTTTTCTAATATTGAAGAGGAAAAGCTCATATAATTTACAATTAACATTGTTATTAATTTAACATCATTTATGCTAGTAAATTGGGTTATCTTGAATTGATGTGTCATCCAGTTTCCAAACACATGCGC